GTTTGGAATGTCGCTTTGGGCAATCGGAAATAATGGCGGACAGCCGCGTGCAAGAAATGAAGCGAAGGCGAGCATGAAAACACCGCAGCTCGACCCGTCCGATTGTTGAGGGACACCACGAACAACCACCTTGGGCTCCTGGAGACCCACTTTCGTTTTTGGACCATAATGACAAACTGCTTCGTCACGGAGGTATTGCATAAAATTCGCAATCACATCGGAAGAAAAACCGCCATCGTCTTGTACGAGGGAGTCGTAGTACTCCAGCCGTTGTTCACAGAGACACAATAGGGTCCAATGCACTCCATGTTTAAGGACAGGAATCAAAACCATCTCGTGCGAGAAAATATCCATATCTTTTGTCCATCTCGCAACCCTATCATGTCGATAGCCGCCACGGATGAGCTTGGTATAGAAAAATGGACTGAAAATATAAAGAGAGGGACACCCAGGCAACACAACGTTGGCAAGCAAGGCCAAGTACGACTCCACCACCTCGTCGGAAGACCAAGAGTTTGAAGACTTTTTCTGCTCAACGGAATTGAACTGACCCCTTTGCGAACCGAGCACACCACCTCGTGGCCTTTGTTGTAATCTCCACATACGTTCCTCAACATTCTCAAGTCGGTAGCGCTAAGCTCCTCAGTAGGCAACGGAACGCGAAAACATGATGTAGCCCCAGCTGCACAAACACCCACAAACAAGTGTGAGGAGTGAGCACAAACCCCCTGGTGGAATGACTAAGAACTGTCTGCCCTTTTCCCAGAAAAGTTGTATCCCCGCTTGTTGAATGTGTCCTTCGCGATGTACTTAGGACACGGGTCTTTCAAGACACCCTGTTTGCCATTGTCATCAGACCCGTCAGACAAAGCAGTAACGCTCTCAATAGACGCAACCAAATGTTTCCGCAGACCTTCCTCCTTATCTATTCCACAAACCTTCAGAACCCTGACAGCTCTCTAGGAAAGGCGAGGCATCTGGACCCTTTTAAACAACCCTACACTTGACGACTTCTTCGGTGAAGCGACCAATGACCTCCCTGAAAGACGTTTCTCGCACACGGCTTTTAAAGGCTTCATGGGTAGGGACATTAACAACCTCACACCTGTAGAACATAGAAAACAACCCACAACCCACAAACTTTTTTTTAACAAGTGGTAACAGGTACATTAGCCCATGGCATCAATTTGGACGAACACAAAGCTGGCCATTGACAGATATGCGAGTGGTCCTATTCACAAATCTTACCGTGTTCGGGAGCCCTTTGAGGGAACTCGCCCTCCTGTCGCGCCACTGCGCCAACGTCCACGGACGATTCGAGGTTCTGGACCTCGGCCACGGCTGTGTCGCTTACCAGTTCGGTGGCATCTGAGTCGCTTGGCAAGTCGATGGCTTCATGAAGCACCATTTCCCGACCGGTACTCAGGACAGATGCTCGATCACCCTGTTCGGCACCGCAACGGGTGGACGGAGAATCATGATCTTTCCGCTGTGTATCCATCTTCATGCTAACGGCCACCTCACCGCCTTCCACGGAGGATTCGACGTTCTGCATCTCGGCCACGCCTGAGTCGCTAACCAGCTCGGTGGCTGCCGAGTCGTCACCCAACTCTATGGCTTCATGAAGCACCATTCCCCGAGCGGTGCTCACGACAGACGCTCGACCACCCTGTTCTTCACGGCAATGGGTGGGCGAAGAATCACCATCTTTCCGTTGTGGATCTGTTTGGATGTCGACATTCACCTCACCGCCTTCCACCACGGGTTCTCCGCCTTTCTCATCGCCATGAACCCGAGCTTCCACCGTGGGTTCTTCTTCGTCTTCATCGTCGCCAAGAACGGGAGCTTGCACGGATGTCCACTGACCTCCCTTAACGACACCCTCTCGCGTCGTGGCCACAACCGAGCGACTGTGCAGAACCTCTTCGGACGTCCCAATCACCAGCGCTCGTGCGTGGAGCCACTTCACGTCTTCACGAGCCGGCCTGTGTCGAGTGTCCTCTCCCCGTTGTACAGCATGCGTTTCCCCCGGAGCTCCTGCACTCTCGCTGTCAGTATCCACGGATGCACCCTCCGAAGCATGACGTTCACACTCGCTACCCCCGGTCTCCAACACTTTGCGAGACTGCCAGCATTGAGTCTCCTCTTCCCGATGTACAGCACGCGTTCCCAGAGAGCGCTCGTCTTCCCCAGGAGTGTGACGTTCGTTCTCGTTACCCTCGGTCTCCAACACTCCTGGAGCGGGTGCCTCCAGCACATCGCGAGATCGCCAGTCTCGAGTCTCAACACATGAGAAGGGAGGCGAGCAGGGTAACCCTGTGTCCAACTGAAGATGCGGGGGCCAGGACGTCACATTTTCTTGGCCCTGCGGAACTGTTGTGTGAGGAGCACTTATGGCGGAGGGCGACGTCAGCAGATCCGAATGTATTCGGAGTTTGTGGAGGTCGTCCGAGCCGAGGGAACCGGAGGTCGCACCTTCGCTCCTTCGCAATGCAGGCATCCCGCCCTCCAGGCAAAACGAAGACGCGCCCTCTTTCAAGAGCAAGGTGTTGAGCACAGGAGACATCCGCTGGGCACAGCGGGATGGACTCTCCTGGGCAATGGGAAACAAACTCCTCGCAGACAAGTGCGAATCTACTCGCACTTGATCAAACGTCAGGGTGACCTCGTCTTGCATGTCGGAATCTTGACTCCCTATGCAGTGGGGGTCAGTTTCCATATACTGGTGACTCCCGGACGTCCTACGCTTTCCGCCCGACCCCTTCCCGCCCGACCCCTTCCCGCCCGACCCCTTTCCGCCCGACCCCTTTCCGCCGGACGCCTTTTCTACCGACGATATCTCGTCCGTCCCCTTTCCGACAAACTGTGAGCCGTCTCCTCCGCCGTCTCCTTCGTCTCGTCCACCACCCCCTCCCGGATGCTGACCGGCCAGCGGAGGTTGCGGCATGCACCAATCAATGCCACGTGACGGTGCCGTTTCAAGTGCGTAGAAAGGCGCTCGAAACTCTAACATATTGTTGGCGTACAACTCATGTAGCTTTTGTTGTGCATACGCATCGATGTCCAGATCATTCCTCTCGGGGTTCATGAGACTCAAATGCTCCACCAGAGCAGTTCTTGCCTTTCTCTTAAATGCACCCGCTCCCAGTCTCTTCAGTTCACTCCACTTGCCATCGGCCTCCTTTATTGCCATGACCCATATTCCATTCCTCACAGCAGGTTGGAATATCCTCGGGTGCCAGACGACGTTGTGTCCCCAGACATCCTCCGAACTGAACCGGTGATGCTTGCCGAAGAAGTAGAGTCTGTCATTCTGCCAGGTGTCATGGTCCATAGGGAGCCTGTCACAAGGTTCGTGATCATAGTCTCTCTCTTCCTCCCCGTCATCAGACGATTGGTCGTCGACTCTTTCACGCCCAAACACACGCTTCAAACCGGCAGGGGACGTGCTATATCTCTGAGGGTCACCTTCCTCTTCATCGACAACCTGTCCAACCACCCGAGGAAGTGGCATGGACTCGAAATCGAAGGTTTCGGAGTCGCTCAGCTCCTCCATGTCTTCAACGTCGAAAGGGTCCTCCTCGTCAAACTGTGACTTGTAGTTTTCGAGAGTGAGCGGTTCGGCCAGCGTGAAGTAAACGTGCTCCAGCCTTCTCAGGAAGTGCGAGATAGACTCCCTGGGTGCACCGTGGTACCCATTGAGCACAGCGAACACCAGGTTTCTCCGTCGACTGTATTCGAGGTCGGTCGGACCAGGCGGTCCGGGTCCGAAAAGGAAGCCTGAAATGTCCGTCCTTTTGTTCCCCGACAATTTCCAATACATGTCACGTTTGGGATCCCCGTTTCCTTCGCCGGTGGTGCGGGCAAGCTCGCAAGCATTGCGAGTGTCTGCAACACGTGTCTTCATGAACTCGTGAAGGTAGTCGATCATCCTGGCCTCCTACTTCAACGCGACGACGTTCCGACCGGTGCGGAGGAGTCCCCACACCACAGACGCATGCGCCTTCCCAAAGAAAAAAACAGTTTGCCCAGCTTTGCAAAAGTTTTCGAGTAGACCAAGTAGACGGGATGGGTTCCGCTCCATCTCCCCGTAAGCAGGTCCTTGAGAACTTGTCACGCCGCCGTCCTCCCACATGCTACGAGAGAACCTTTCCTCTTCCGCCACGTCGAAACACGCCACAGCCTGTCCTGATGGGTCCGACGAACAGACACGTTTCGAGCGGGCTGCCACCATGTGTTTGGCCGGACTTGGACCTTTTGTCGTGCTACTGGCCGGGTAGACTGCGTATGTGTTGTCTTCCAGCTTCTCGCCATTAAACATCACGTACAGGCGGTCACACTCCTCAACCAGCATATTGCCTTCCCGAAGAGTGGCCTGCTTTTGTGCATTACGTACTCACTTCCCTGTCCTGTCGTGATGGACGCGTAGCCTGGCCATGCCTTTCAAGAAACTGAGCTCCCAACCAGAGGGGAAAAAGATCACAAGTGCCCAGTGCGTTGGCAAAAGTGTTTGTAGAAGGCCTTGCAAGTTGGCGAAATCGTTTTCTCGCCAGTCTGTGAGGAGTGTGGGATCACACAAATCGAGGACGTACAGGTTCCACACGTAATGTCGCACAACCTCACGGATCGCAGTGACATGACTGTGAGCTTGGGAAGGCGGGAAAGCAAAAGGAATAAGGCTGGTCACCCGGTTAGAATCGGGCCATTTGATGTGCCTCACATCCCCGCTGACCCTGATCGTGTCTCGATCTTCTTCTTCCGTCCGTCGCAAGATGGAACGGACAGACTTTTCGAAATATTTAGGGAACCTGTCATCATCGTACAATCTCTTCGCGTCGTCGATGGACTCCTTCTCGTGCGGAAGAGTACGTTTGCAAGTGTTCACGTACTCCATCGCGCCCTGGAAATGCTTCCGCATTTCGACCCACACCTGTTTCGTGAGGCCCTGCGGCCCGAACTCCTCCAGAAGCTTCCCCTCGGTCCGAAAAAAAGGGCTCCCGTGGCGCCAAACACGTTCATTCTCCTCCGCTTCAAGGAACAAGATGTAGTGGAACATACGGAGCATCACACGGTCCACTTTCCTCGTCGCGACCATGTCTTAAGTTCCTGGTTTATGCTGACGCTTCAGATGGCCGTCCGCGGATTGCACGAACATTCCCCTTAGCGCGAGAATGTCGTCAAGGATCGACAGTTTCTCGACATCGGTCATGTCGGCGAGACACTGCCAACAGAACATGTCTGGCTCCTTCACAACCACGAAAAACTTGTCGTCCGCTTGCGTTTTATTTTTGGTCGGAGGCGGCGGGACCTGGACCTGCCACCCCATCTTCGTTTCACCAGCCGCCCCTTTCGAGCCCATTTCCGGAATTGCTTTCAGACCCAGAGATTTGTAAGGCATGTATTTGCCTGGCCTCGACAATGGCGTCTTGCCGTCGCCGCCCAACAACTTCCCCTCCGCCCATTTCGCGTAGAACTCCATGGCTTTGCGGAAAACGTCATCACCGGCCGTCACGAGCGGCATCCAGTGCCTCAATGCATTGCCAACGGCAGCGACATACTCCTTGTCAGCAAGCGACAAATCTTTTTCCGCCAATGCCCAGTGAGATTCATTCGGACTCTTTCCCAAAATCAACTTTTGGAATTCGAAAAACTTTCGTTTTTCGGCCTCCTTGCCGGAAGGGTTCCCTTGAATGGCCATCGGCCTTCCTTCTTTCTCCCATGCCTCCCGCATGTCCAAGAACGCGGCCTTCTGCGATCTCTGCTTAGACATTTTGTGTCTCGTGTTCTCGTTGAGACTGACCTGCCTATAGCTCGCGAAATCTCGGTTGGAGAACCACACTACTCTCGCCGGTCACGAGTGCATCTTCCACAAATCGAATATTGGCTCACCCTCCAACTCCTTCACAGCAGCTACGGTGTGTTGGCCGTTAACAGGGTAATAGCAGTACTTGTCCTTGTCCTCTACTTGAAGACATCTTTGTGAACCCTGTCAGCTTTCTCCGGTCTACGCGTCACCGGCTTGTAGATGGGTGCCAGAACCGAAGGGTTTTTCGTCCAGATCTTCCCCTTTTTTCTAGCGGAATTGACTCAGCATCGCAGCCTTGATGTCGTCTACAGTTTCGCGAGTTAGACTGCGGTGGTTGTAATATTTTTCCCAAGACGGGATGTCGCAGACCTTCCTGGGGTCGATGATTAGTTGGACGGGGAGCTCCTTCTCCAGGATTTCACCGCCATCGTTCCGCTCTTATTCGAGCCAGAACGCTGCCGCTTCGTCGCACTCCTCCTTGTCAGGCCGTTCGCCCCCGCTCGCCGCCTAAACAGTCTTCCGCCTTCGAGGTTTCTTCTGTCCATCGCCTTCTTCAACTGCCACTTTCCGTTTCGATTTCCCCGAAGGTTCTCTCGCGGCCGCAGCGCCTGGATTAACCGAATCTCCTCCACCCACGGCTTGTCCTTCGCGGATGGTCAAACCGCTTGGCCTCCTCGCTTTCTTACTTGTCGTCCCACCCTCTTCCTTCGGCGGCCTCCTTCCCGAGGCACGTTCTCCGACGTCACCTCCATCCCCGCCCATCACCGCCTCCAATTTTCCTCTCATCCTCTTCATGCGGAGGGTTCCTTCCGCCACCTCCTCTCGCACCATCCTCTGTCGCTCGCTCTTCTTCTCCGAGGGAGTCTGCTCCCCGCCAGAGCTTTCGCGGACAGCACCCATCCCTTCAGCCTCATTCCTTCCGACATCTTGCCGCGATCTGCTTGAATCTCTTGTCGTCTCATCTCGAAGCGAATACGTATCGCCGCCGCAACGAACCATGATAATTTTCAGAGTACCGACCCGTTGAGTCCCTGTACCCTGAGAATGCAAGTCCGACTTGTTCCCAGGAGCATCCGGGCTGACCTGCGTGTGAACGCTGCGTCCCTTGACCCGACCCCCTGCGTCTTGAATCGGACTCCTGCGCCCCACTGCCGTACCTGGAGTTTCTTGAGCCGAGCCGGACGACCCCTCACGGGGTGGCAGAAGCCGGAAAACATGCTCTGGTGGAAGAACCGGACGTTCTTTTTCGGCCCTCAGCGCGAGATCGAGATATTGCTCTGGCGATGGAAGACGCTTGCTACCGCCATCGTAAAGGCCTTTGAAATGAGAGCATAACGACATGTTCGAGCCGTACCCCGCGAAACGCTTGATGGTCACTATCACACCTTTAACACCTCTGATAGCCAGTCTGCACTCGTCGTACAAGCCGTTAGTGTGCAACTTGAGCAAACCTCCAGAAGTCTTCGCGCACGAGATGATGGTACTGAGAGGAACAACGTTGACCGCTCCCCCAGCGTCTATAACGCAAGTGGGTCGCATGAAAACAACTAGCCCAAAAAGGTCCCCCTGAACAACGAAGTCCAAAAATCATTGTGCTCCCTTTGCGTGCATATACGGAGGAGTAGGTTGCTGTATAGGTCGTCCCTCCCCGGGGCAGATGGTCCAGCGCTTGTGGATGTGTTCTTTGCGGAGGCCATTGTATTCCCACCCGTTGACTAGCACGCCCAACCTCAGACCAACTCGGATGACTAATACGCCCAACCCCAGACCACTACAGAAGCGAAGTGCGAACTAACTCGGAGTTAACAAAATGGAGGACGAAAAGGACATAAGAGATGGGTGTTCGAAATGCACACGAAGTCATAACAATCGGGTGAAGGATAGGAAAGACAAAAGTTCGGAGGGAAGACGATAACTGTTCGGAAAGATTGCGACCCAACTAGATGCCCTCGAAACGAGTAAGATGTGGTTTATCGACAAGTGCGAAGGGTGTCGACAAGTGCGAACTAACTCGCAGTTCTGTAGACAAGACAACAATGGCAACCCGCTGCACTAGGGGAAAGTGAGAACTAACTCGGAATTGTGGAACTGAAGATTTGAAAGACGCACGAAACGAGTAAATGTGGTTTATCGACAAGTGCGAATCGACAAGTGAGAACTAACTCGCAGTTCTGCTGACAGGACGACAATTGCAACCCGAAGTACAACGGCAAAGTACGAACTAACTCCGAATTGTGGAACTGGAGTCCTGGTTTATCGACAATTGCGAAGGGTTTCGACAAGTGCGAACTGACTCGCAGTTATGTAGACAAGACAATAATGACGATGCGCAACACTAGGGAAAAGCATGAACTAACTCGGAATTTTGGAACTGAAGACCTGAAAGCCGCACGGGTTGGGTTGTCAACTCTCCAGCAGTGTTGCTCAAAAAGTGCGAACTAACTCGCATTTGTGGAAATAAAGAACTGCCTTTAATGAAATATGTGTCTAACCTTGGGAAAACTGCGAATAACCTCGCAGTTGTCACTCCTCGAACACTGTACGTCGCAAACTGTGAACTGACTCGCAATATATCTCTCTATATATATGTATCTATACATACATACATATATATATATATATATCAGGTTGGCGACCTCACAAGGGACAGGTGAGCGAAAATCGGGAATTGATTCGGTGTTCAGTGTAGCAATATATCTCTATATATACATATATGTATCTATATCTTTATATATATATATATATATGT